GACCCACCCATTCTTCCCTGCCTGTGGCAGGGGGTCAGGCTAGATGATCTGGTCAGGTCCCTCCTGACCCTAGCTACTATGATACTATGTAACAGAAAATTGCCTGGCATGAAACACCAAGTGGGATATCCTATGGTTTCTTTTTTCCATAACATTCACAAAACAAGACATTTCTGTCAGCAGTACTTTTTAGATGGACAGGTCTTCAGTACTGCGGCTCTCAAAATCTTCTGAAGAACTTTTTATGTTCTCAGACACCGATTCCCATGCCCACGTTCACTGGACTCCAGCTAAAGGATGACTTGAAAGTCAGTTGAAAAACTGTAACTGTTTTCAATTCTAGGCACACATGTTTAGACAGCTTTTTGTGTGAAGGTGAGGAGGGTTAGAGTAACACAGTGGCCTTACCTTATAAACAGTACCAAAAGCTCCAGAGCCCAGAACTTTGACCTTTTTAAATTCAGTTTCCTTTAAAATCCTCAGATGAGCTTGGTTTGGTGCTTCCCCGCTGGGTGTTAGAGGTTCAACAAGCTATTGAATACAGAAGAACAGGACTTTACCAAAATATACTGTACAGCAGGCTAGCAAGAAGTACAAGCACTCTACACTGAACCAAAGGCTTTGTTTTTAATAATGTACTTTTCATTCCCCATGACGTGTCTTGCAAAGCAATTCAGCTCTGAAAATCTTGAGAGTATACAGTTTTAGTGGAATTACTCCACATTTGCATAGATGTAAATCCCTCAAAATGAACTCCATGGAAGTATTACTCCAGATTTATATGCAACTATCTCCTAAATGTGAAGCAAATAGAAACAAAAAAATTGAGAGAAAGTAGAAAGATTATTAGGACTTTAGATCCTTCAAAAAGGCACACAATGATGACCAATTTTATTACCAGAAGTTTAGAAATGAAGCAAGTCAGAAATGCATTATCTACATTTTAAAAGATTACACAGCCATCACCTTTCACCTTTGCACTTCACCTCAATTACACCAGAAAAAGCCACTGCGTTATTATTGGAGATAGCTCTTGCGTTACAGGTTATTATGGAGAACACTGGAAATGCTCAGGTGACCCTCCATTTCTAAAGACAAAAGGGAATTTGAGGTTCGCTGCTGGATTTTTATGTATTTCATAAGAATTTTGTTGGAAAGGAATAAGGAAAACAACAGCAACAACAAAAGAAAAAACAAGCAAACAAACAAACAAACAAAAAAACTCCCTTTAAATGTCAGAACCTTGGCACTTTCCAAATCTTTAAATTTCTCTTTTAACAACCATTCTGTTGTTTCCTTTCCTGAACAGCTTTGTTAAAAGCAAGCACATACTTGGCTGGATGCAAACCTGTTTCCTGCATGGAAACAGAAGTAGCCAGCTACTTTCATGCTGTGATTCAAGATTCTCATTTTGAGGAGCACAAAGCGCACAATGTGAACTGAAGCACAATCTGCACTACAACATTATAGCTGTAGAAGATGGCGGCTCATAAAATGTTGCTAGGTAATGGAGTGAAAAGTAGGGCAGCCGCAGGGCTTTTATCACTTTTTATCACTTTGGATTTTGCAAAACAAGTGAGTGGAAGAGGAGACACTAGCAGGGTCCTTAGCAGCTCTTTGACTACAATTTGCTTATTAAAATTGAATTGGAAAGATAAAGGGAATAGTCACAACAGATTTATTTTTGATTTTGGGTAATGCATTCTGGTGTTTTACATGAAAAGTACACAGAGGGTAACAGTATGACTTGTATGAAATCTATATCATGCAGTATAGCAGCCAAGTGAGAAGATTGCCTTATGCGGCCTATGGGGAGAAGTTTTTTATAACCAGGATGACATTCCATGTGGAGAGACTGGTGTAAGCAAGAATTCCTTGCATTGCACCTACTGTAGCCAGCGGGGGCTCGGGTGGTGCGGGCGCTAAGATGCATGGTTGGCAGTCCAGAGATCGCAATTTCGAGGCCATAGTAGAAGTGCTCATGATGCGCCCATGTCAGATTCCAATGAATCAGCAAATTCTGCTAAATACTGGGAAGGGCAGAAAGGACTGTAGCCAGTAACACACATTGCTCAGCTCTGCTTTCTGCTGCTTATCTCTCAGCTTTAATAAGCAATGGTACTCCAGAGACAGAGATGACTGGTACAGGGTAACTGAAGGCAGCACTGGCCTTGCAACTGAAATTCAGTCCACCAAGTGCTGCTGAGCTGAGCGAACCACAGTAGAGACCATTCGTCTCATTGGGCTGTGGTGGTCCTGCAACACTTACGGGAGTAGTGAACTATCAGTAAAAAAACCAAAACCAAACCCGCTCCTTGTGTTAAAACGTAGATTGTACACAAAACAGGGTAACATTTGCAGAAGAGCCTAATATTCGTAAGGGCTTGTTGACGTGGCAAAGTTAGCACATGGGTTTACAGTGCAGTAGTTACTCCACAATAATTTCCTTACCCTACTTGCACACTGCTGTGAACTATCCCACCAAGGGCACCCTAGGAGTGGCCATACAGAGAATAGTGCAGGGTATTTAACATGCTGTGAATTCATAGTGCCTATAGACTAACTTACCCCCCCCACATACACAAGGTCAAAAACCTAATGATTTTCAATGGAACGTAGGCTCCTAAACCATCTATATGCTCTTGAAAATTATATCCATAGAGATCAGATAGGACATTAAGTAAGAACGTTTTATATGTAAACAATTGCTTTTCAGGGTAGAACTGTGGATAATCCATTATCCAAAAAAATCTTATTTAGCTAAGCAGCAGATAAGCTATAGTACAACCTCGTAAGTATGAACCATACTTATTATAACAGCCCACCATTTAATCCCAATAGCAAGAACCATTTTTTTAAATTATGATTTGACTAACAAATTTAAATTGGCTAATGCTGTAAAAGTGAACACCCTGTTTTAATGAATTGTTCTCTCTGTCCTACGAGGGTTTGTTATAAGGAAGCTTCATTTTACTTTCATTACAGGGGTGAGGTCAGAAACATCATGCTTTGACCCAGTGAAACAGCCCATGCTAACATAATGCAGCAAATTTATCAGGTAAGTCCCAGTCAACATCTTTAGGAACTATTTGCAACACTTACCTCCCTCTCCTGAAGAAGCCTGCGCAGCGTACGCTTTCTAACAATATGCCGCCTGCGTAGGTAAAGACCAATCCCCAAAGCAATCACAACCAAACAAAGGAGACTTCCAACAACACCAGCTGCAATAGATGGGATTTTGGAGCTAGAAAGCAAAGGGAAAGAATTGGTCTGGCATACAATACACTACCCCCACGTCCTAGGAGTGTAATTTTAAAAAGCAACAGATGTTTAAAACTTGATCAAGTCTAAGGATTCAGACTCAAATTTAGTTTACTTAAATCCCAAATCACTTGGATATAGTGTTCTTATTTTTTTTCACCCAGTATTCATAAATTTCTGCAAATCTTATTTGGGTATATGATATTGTTATTAGACCAACTAAATAGCTGATAAATAAAGCTAAATAAAATAAAATAAAAGATTATTAAAGACCAAATAAAAGATATCACATTTACTCAAAGAACCTTGTCTGCCTATGTCTTTAGACCAACATGGCTACAGCCAACACCCCTGGAAATATTACTGATTTTTTTTTAAATTTCACAATTGTTTTAATTTCAGGTTTCAGAGATGCCCATTTTTAATTCCCACCCTCTTCCCCCCAGCTTCCATTACACTATCAGCAAAAACATTTTTGAAAAATTTTAATTTACTAAAAATGGAGCTGCAGTAACATTTTCAATCAAAACAGGAAGTAAAAATATGAAAAAATTGTGGAAGATTAGATATTTTGAGAAAGCCTATTGAATTTGCACACAACTTTTTCTTGAAAAAAATGAATTACTATTCTTCAATGGAAAAACTTGATTAGAAAATTTATAGGCGTGTTTCTATGAAATTGGCATTTAATCTCTTAATCCTTTTCCTGGCCTTTAATAATTAAAGACTTAAAAAAAGAGAGGCCATAAAGCTTTCCTGGTGGACATCGCCATCACTTCCAGTGCTCTGGCCACCACAGGCAGTACCATTATCACTCACAGCACTCTGGGGGCCACTGGCTACTCTGGCCACCACCCCTGACTGCACTTTGGGTGCTATTGTGGCTCCCAGTGCCATGAACACTTTGGCCACTCTACACACTGGAGATACCACTGGGGCTCCCAAGACTCTGGCTTCCACAGCACTGTGGCCAGTTTTGAAGCCCTGCAGCCTGGAGGCATGACAGGGGTCTGTATGTTTGCCCACAGCTGAAATACTCCATTTTTTAAAATGTTTCAAACCCCTCTTTACTTTGAAATATTTCCGATGTTACATCTGCACCCCAAGGTAAGTTAAATAGATTGAGCTCTCAGGGTGTGTCCACACGAGTGGCGCATGTGCCTCTTGCCCTGCCTCAAACCCCGTTGAAGTGGGGTAACAGGCAAGTGCAGGAACAAAAAAATATTCCCCGCACTTCAAACTTGCAGCGCAGAGAGAAAATTAGACCCCCTGGATATCCAGGGGTCTAAAAAAAAGCGAAGTACAAAAAAGCGGGGCAGGGCACGGGCAGGGACCAGAGGCAACCGGAGGCTGGGTCCTCCATAGAGATGCTCTGGCTGTCAGAGCGTCTCTATGGCTGGCCCCTCGCCCTGGTGCTGAAACACGCAACCGACCAGGCCGCGTGTTTCAGCACCAGGGCTCTAGTGCTGTTGAGCAAGGGGTGGGGAGGGGCTGGAGGAGGGGAGAAGGGACTGTGGGGGGGGACCCCAATGGCT